CACATAGACACCAATCACCAAATATCGGCCTCATGAGATGGAAAACGGCTTCATAAACCGGGGCTCTGTATCAATTAAGCATGTGGCCTTGGACAAGTCACTGCACCTCATGCACTTATTGGTAAAATGCAAGGGCTGAACTAAATAATCTATTGCAGCTTTAAGAAACCCTGCTTTGTTTGAAATCAAAACTTACTCAGGCACCTTCCACAGAAACCCAATTTCCTCCCTTGCAGTTGATAATACATGGTAAAATCTGGCTGTTATTTACTGAGTGTGCTCTCTGGCCTAGTGCTAAGTTCTTTTCAAACATTCCATGATTGAATCTTCTTTATCACTCAATGTTCTTAATTGCAAATAACAGAATCCACTCTAGTTAGTTTAATTAGAAAAGCAACTCATAGAGCTCCTGGGTGGGCCAGAGATCAAAAGCTCTGAGGCTGTGCTAACATGATCAATGCCCACATCACACCTGGTGACCTGCTCCAGCAAGGATACTAGTGTTGCCACTCCCTGTCACGGACAGGATGCTCATGCTACCTCTGCCGAGATCGGAACTAGAAGCATTGCCTCTGCTGCTCCAGTCATGTTCAACATCTTAGACAACACCCCTGTCTACAGGTGGACTCTGTATGGTCCCTACTTCCTAAAACTCACAAGTGGGTACATATCATTGGCAAAGCTCAGGGCACATGTCAGTGCCCCATTACAAGGGAAACTGGGGAAGCAAATTTTGGAGTCTACCTCAAGAAAGCAAAATTTATAATTGTGAACATTTCTTCACACACAGGATGTGTTCCAAGGATGTTGGATGGCCACAAGCATGACAGTTATAATGATCACATTTTACAGATAGAAAAAGTGAGGCTTAAACTCAGAGGGCCAGTAGCTTCACTAGTAACCACCCCTAGTAACTAATTTAATGAGATTTAAACCCAGAGCTGTCTGAATGCACTGGGCTCCTTGGCACTCTGCTATACTGAGTATTTTATGGTGATTAAGCTTTCCCAGCAAGGAGCAAAAATAAGTAAGACCTCCAATTTGCCAAATCAAAGTTTGTTTCTCAACTTTCTCTTTTTCACCATCACCCCTCTCCTCTCCCTTCTTTGCTAAATGAGAAGACATGTGTTCCTATATCCTATTTGTGCAACCAGTATTAGTCAGGACTCTTGGTTGCAGGCAACAGAAACCAACAATCATTAGTGTAAGAAGAGAGTAAATATGTTGAAATATTTTAAGCCCCTCAAGAATTACAAAGTATCTGGAGAATCAAGCTCAGAAAACATGCAGAAGCTCAGGGAATTCCCATGATTGAAGCCACAGCCAAGATAACACGACAGGAACAGCCTGGCTAGGAGGCTGCTGCCTCAGTTGGATACTGCCGCCAGCACCACTGCCAATAGCCACTGTACATGGCCACTACTGAAATCAATGGCAGAATAAATTCAACTCTTCCTGTCTTTTTGTAGCACTTGATGCAAAACCAAGGACTGTTTGGCCAAGCTTGGGGCAGGGAGGGCAAGTATTGGGGCTTCTGCAGAGGGAGGCTAGGCCCTGCCTCCACCAAGACTCCTGGAGGAGATTCCCCAACCTAGAAAGTGGTTCAGATGCTGGCATGGTCAGCTGAGGATTGGAACTGAAGCACATCAGTCTTGGTGTCCTGCTGTCAGAGACCCATCTCTTTTAGTGTGTGGAACCTGTCACAAATATGCAAGTCAACTTGCTCATTGACTTGTTCCCCATCCCTGAGAAATAAAATGTGGATCTGAGGTCTTCCTCATATGTATGCAAAATGAACAGGATATAGCACTTAAAAGTGATGTATCCAGCCTTCTTCATGCAGGAGATGGGGAAGGTCTTGTCTATGGAGTAGAAGGATGAAGGCTTGGATGCAACTCATGATCAAGCCAAGAGGAGGAGGAGGAGGAGAAGAAGGGCAGAGGACTCCAACAAGCAGAGCTCAAAGCCTTTGATCATCACACACCCCCTCTGGACATTCTGTGGGGCCCAAAGGTAACCTTGAGGCCCTGAAGCATCACCAAAGGTGGTGTGCCCTCAAAGCAGAGGAACACTGTCTAGCCCCTAATTAGCTATACAACATTAATAATGAATAATCACAACAACCAACACTTAATGTGTCAGACACTCCACCAAGTGCTTTATATGGATTATCTTATTTCATGCTCACATGATCCCTTTAATGTAAGTCATATTCATTTTTTTAAGGTAAGTCATTATCATCCCTATTTCAAAGATGAACAAACTGAATGAAGCTCAGAGATATTGTTTAACTTGCTCAAGGTCACACAATAAGTGGCAGAACAAGAATTTGAATTCAGGTAATGTTATTTCCAGGGCCTGCTCTAGTTCTTTCCCTTTTCCTTAGGAATCACAAACTGGAGGCCCAGTGTACATGCCACTGCCATGTTCTACACACCATTCAGTTTGGCCCCCTCCACTGAGTATTAAAAAGCTGTGTATTCCATAATGGCTGTACCAAATAAGAGCGTACAGGGTTCTTTTTTCTCTGCATCCTTGTCAACATTTACTATCTTTTGTCTTTTGACAACAGCCATCCTAACAAGTATGAGATGATATCTCATTTCTCAATGATTAGTGAAGTTGAATATGTTTTCATATACCTGTTGGCCATTTGTATATCTATTCTGAGAAATGTCTTTTCAGGTCCTTTGCCCATTTAATCACCTAGTTATTTGTTTTTTTGCCATTGAGTTCTTTGAGTTCCTTATGTAGTTTGGATAGTAACTCCTTATCAGATGTATGGTTTACAAATATTTTCTCCTGTTCCTTAGACTGTCTCTCCACTTTGCTGATTGTTTCCTTTGCTGTGCAAAAGGCTTTTAGTTCCTCCAGCATTGTTCTTTTTGCTCCAAATTGCTTTGACTATTTGAAATCTTTTGTGGTTTACATGAAATGTATGAGCTTTTTTCTATTTCTGTGAAAAACGTCATTGAAATTTTGGGAGGAATTTTATTAAATCTATAGATTGTTTTGGGTAGTATGAACATTTAAACAATATCAATTTTCTAATCCATGATCATGGGATGTTTTTCCATTTGTCTGTGTCTTCTTTAATTTTTTCATCAGTGTATTATAGTTTTCAGACCTTTCATCTCTTTGTCAGAATCATTATTATGCATTTTTAAATACTATTTAAAATGGGGCTGATTTCCTGACATCTTTTGCAGATAGTGCATTATTAGCATATAGAAATGCTACTGGCTTTTTTTTTAATATAAATTTTGTATTCTGCAACTTTACCCAATTTATTAGTTTAACAGTTTTTGGTGGAATGTTTAGGGTTTTCTATATATAAAACCATGTTGTCTACAAACAGAGACAATTTAACTGCTTTCATTCTGATTTAGATAACTTTTCTTTCTTTTTCTTACTTAATTGCTCTGGCTAGAATTTCCTGTATGATGTTGAGTAGAAGTGGCAAAAGTGAGCCCCCTTGTCATGTTCCTGATCTCAGAAAATAAGTTTTCAACTTTTCACCATTTTCACCATTGAGTATGATGTTAGCTGTGGGATTATGTTGATAAACAATAAAGTTCATGTATGGCAATCCTAGCTTTATTCCTTCTATATCTAATTTATTTTTTAAGTCATAAAAGGACGTAAGAATTTGTCATGTTTTTTTCTGTATCTATTGATATGATCATATGTTTTCCTGAAAAAAATAAAAATAGAACTTCTATATGATCCAGCAATTCTACTTCTGGCTATATATGCAGAGGAAATGAAACCAGTATGTCAAAGAGGTATCTGCATTCCCATGTCCATTACAGCATCATTCACAATATCCAAGATACGGAATCAACCTAAGTGTCCATCAATGGATGAATGGATAAAGAAAATGTGGTTATATATACATAATGGAATACTATTCAGCCTTTATAAAAAGAAAATCTTGTCATTTGCAACAACATGAATAGCACTGAAGGACATTATGTTAAGCACTGAAGGACATTATGTTAAGTGAAATAAGCCAGATATAGAAAAACAAATAGTATGCATATATGTGGAATCTAAAAAACTCTAACTCATAGAAGTAGCAAGCAAAATGGTGGTTACCATGGGCTGAAGGGGTGAGGAGAGATTGAGAAGGTCAGAGGATATGAAATCCCAGTTAGACAGGAGGAATAAGGTCATATCTATTGCACAATATGGTGACTAAAGTTAATAATAATGTATTGTATACTTGAAAATTGCTAAAATAATAGATTTTAAGTGTTATCACCTCAAAAAAAAAAGTATATTGTGAAGTGATGGACATGTTAATTAGCTCGATTCAGCCATTCCACAATGCACACATATATCAAAAGATGTTGCTGTACAGCATAAATATATGCCAATTTTTTGTCATTTAAAATTTATAAAAATTATTGTAGTATACCCAGGCAAGCATGATGCCTGATGGAAGAAATAACTCAGCACCAAATTGTGTGCATGCTTCTAGACTGAATTCTTTGCCCACCTCCTCCCACAGCTGTTGACATCAGTGGGTCCTGCTCTGTCTGACAAATTGTATACTTCCATTATCCATACATTGCTTCTCTATAAAATGAGAGGGTTGGACTAGATGGTCTACCTCAAAGGTTCTTTTCAATTCTAAATGTTATGGATCTAACATTTGCCAGACGCTGGGCCACCCTCTTGGATCTAGTAGCCAGGAGTTCAGATCGGCAAGGTGATCAGCCATTCTCGGTCAGGCAGCCCAGAGAAACATGACCTCAACCTTGCTAACTCTGTGTCCAGCCACCGACACCCACAGAACACACCCATTCAACACCAGGCCAAAGAAAAGCATGAGGAAAGAAAGCTGATTTTTGCTAACTTACTGATTTCCGCTTCCACAAGAATTAACTAAAAATCTTTTGAAATGTTAGGGAAGAAATGGGTTCTAAAGCACATGAGGAAAGATTAGCCCGAGTGGGCTTAGACTGCATTTTAGTAATGTCGTTTTTCTGCCCCAGGGAGAAGCAAAGATGTTGAAAGATGGGAAGGTCTTCAGAGTGGTGCAAGAGAATTGCTGGGATCCAGAAGTTCGTATTAGAGAAATGGACCAAAAAGGTACTATAAGAAATGCTACCTATGTTAGCATCTGATGTAAAGGCAATGTTTGTGCTTAAAGTTTGTTGACAACTTCATGTGACGGTAACTTCTAACCCTCTTTTCTCTGCCAGGACAGGCTGTTCCAGTTTCACTGTGGGAGGGACAGGGTCCTCCAGTACAATGCTTCTAGAGTTTCTATTCAAAATGTTTTATATGAGTTATACCCTGCTTTAAAATTGAATGCTATATCATGAAAAAGATAAATGAGGCATTTTATTATTTTTTTAAAAATAGTTCAAATGTATAGTATTTACTTATTGTAAAATCAATTAAAATAGTAAAAACTGGAAATCACAAAACTACGAATGAAAATTGCCTGCTTAGTAAGACTTAAGATCCAATTTCTCTCTGCAGTTTGTCTCACTGCACTCTACACGGAACGTTCCCACCGACGCATCGGGGGTGGAAATAGAAGCAGTTAAACGAAGTTAATTGTGTAATCTCAGAATACACTACAATAAAATCAATCCAGAAACTTGAAAGAAGAGAATTAGGAAGTGTTACTTTCAAAGCTGAATTGCTAACAAGCTCTAAGAATGTTTAAAAATCAAATAAGTCCTCACAATTTAAAAGAATTTCAGGCCAGGCACAGTGGCTTGCACCTGTAATCCCAGCACTTTGGGAGGCCGACGCGGGTGTATCACCTGAGGTCAGGAATTCAAGACCAGCCTGGCCAACATGGTGAAACCCTGTTTCTACTAAAAATACAAAAATTAGCCAGGCATGCTGGCATGTGCCTATAATCCCAGACTCTCAGGAGACTGAGGCACAAGAATCACTTGAAACAGGGAGGCGGAGGTTGAAGTGAGCTGACAATGTGCCGCTCAACTCCAGCCTGGGCAACAAAGTGAGACTGTGTCTCGAAGCAAACAAACAAAAAATTTCAAAGTCTTTCTAAAATATGACATGATGGCCACTTTATGCTTCACCTGTAACTGCCTGGCTGACTGTGCCACCTGAGGAGAGCATGCTCCAAGAAAACTCCTGAGCTTCCAGACACATGTGGGCTGCATCCATGGGCTGTGATGGGGAACTGATTGCCACTGACATTGTCAGAACTACACATTTCCATTGGTGGAACATCACAACCAGAAAAGAAACAATTCAAACATACAAATAAAAGAGCAGTTTAGCACTTCCACCTTCCTAATCAAAGACAAATTATAAGAAGTTCAAACATACACAGAGACGTTAGGAGACATTTTATTCCAAGGTCTGCAAAAAAGGAATCAACCCATTAGCCCAAAATGAGTAGGTGGTCTCCAGCATATTGGAATTAGCTGTAGATACCTCCATCCAGGTATTGCTTTATATATTTTTTAACAATTAAAAATAGAGCCGGGTGTGGTGGCTCATACCTATAATCCCAGCATGTTAGGAGGCCAAGGCAGCAGGATCACTTGAGCCCAGGAGTTCAAGATCAGTCTGGGCAACACAGTGAGATCCTGTCTCCACACAAAAATAATAATAATAATAAATTAGCCAAGGATGGTGGCATGTACCTGTCATCCTAGCTACTTGGGAGGCTGAGGTGGAAGGATCACCTGAGCCCAGAAGTTTGAGGCTGCAGTGAGCTGTGACTGCACCACTGCACTTCAGCCTGGTGGCGGAGCAAGACGCTGTCTCTAAAAAAAAATTATTTTTAATTAACAGTATATTTTAATGGCATTTAAATTGAACTTTGCAGAAAACCTGCAGCACCTCTGTAGAGTACTCCACAGTATAGCATATATCGCCCTGTTCTAAAAGTATATTGGAGTGAGAGGAAGCTGGAGAAAGAACATACTTCCCTGATCTACAGCAAAGAGCAAGGTTTTGTAGGAAATGTGGAGCTACAGCAAGGACCTTTTCTCCTTTTCAAGGAGAAAACTAGTGAGCATGAGACTTGAATGGCTGGTGTCGGAAACCACCGCTTACAGCTGCAGGATAAACAAAGTGCATGTGTCATCTTTGGTTTTTGTTGTGTGTTTCATTCCTTGGCTCTCCTTGAGAGAATTAGTCATGACCAACCCTCACTGAATATTTACTTTGTGCCAGGCACTATTCTAAGAACCTAACGTGTATTAATTCATTTAATCCCTACAACAACCTCAGGAAGTAGGCCCTCTTGAAGACAAAAGATTCTTGGCATCCTGGATGCTGGAGTCAAACTCAGGGTCCCATTCTGGGTATTCCAGACCATGGGACTCCTTCTAGGATCACTCAGAGGCTGAATTAATGGGACAGGGAAGGTGGGTGAGAGACATGCTCTGTTGTACATGACCTAAGATGGAAAACCTGAAAAAGTCTTGCTTAAAAAAAAATTTCACAGGAAGGAGGGTAGAAATAACTCTGCAGAAATGGGGTCAGTTAGTTTTCCTTGAATGATCTCATTTGTGTCCAACCTTTATTTATCTCCCTAGAATCTGGGGCTGGGAGCTGAGGGGGGCTTAGGGAGGGACTGAGAGAGGGACACAAGGAGGGAGAGCAGGAGGAGTTTAGGGTGGAGGCTTGCTGCCGCTTGGCCTCGGGAAAGGAAGGAGTGCCCAGGCTGTTCTTCTCACCAGCTTTGCCTTTCTTTGTGTCCAAATCCAGGAGTAACAGTGCAAGCCCTTTCCACAGTTCCTGTCATGTTTAGCTACTGGGTGAGTGTGAAACCGCAAGCTATCTCCTTGGTGTTGAAGGTTCGTGCCCAGCTCCCAAAAAGTGAACAGATGCCTCAAATCTGGACACCATTGCCACTGACCACCACTATCAACTGTCCTTCCCTTTAGACATCAGCAGGGTCCCCGCTTAGAACTGTCTTCACAGCCAAGTCTTTGCTCCAGTATGGTAGCCAGTAGTCACATGTTGCTATATGACTTGCATTATAGTTACACTGCACAGTGGTTCTAGACCAGCCTTAATCTCCATCAGAACTTACCTGTCTGGTGACTCATTCCTGCAATGCCTTGCTGGGGAATTGACAAGCCAATGTCTTCTGAAATAAGAATGATTTTTGAGGTAGGAATGTTAAATCATGACACACTATATTACCTCTCTAAGGAAAAAACACAATTCAGAAGGGGAATCCTGACGTTGGATGCTCTTTCCCAAGTGAATCTCAAGCACTTTTGTTTCAGGCATGATTTCCAGCCTGTAGAGGAAAACTGTTGTACGGAGCTGGGAGTGTGCTAAGTCTCTGCTCATCCAAGCAGATACTCTCGTGATTTAAGGAGCAATGGAAATACCACCTGCTCTAACACACTTCCCCAACCTGTGTTCATAAATCCATTATTAGCGAGTGACCGCATCCTTACCTGTTCCTGCAAATGAATTCACTATTTAAAAGTGCCCTGAGACCTCAAGATGCCCGAATTTATCAGACTGGCTACCACTCTGACCAGACAACTGAGACTGCAAGAGAGGATCAGATTCCTAGCAGTGAGCTGGGCGCAGTGGGGTGACAGAAGAAAAAAAAACAGTGAAGAAGGGAGCTTTAGGGAAACCGACAGCAAACTGTGTCTGCCTCAGCATTTTGCCAATGACAGTCCTGAATGTCACAGCCAACAGGAAGGACAGAGAGGAGGACAGGCAGGGACAGGACAAGTCAGTGAGTCCGCCTGGCCACCCTCAATGAGACGTGACAAGGAGGTGCCTTGATGGTGGCCTGGGGCCCTTAGCTAAACCTAACCTCCTGGGAGGTGGGGGATGGAGGTGTTAAAATCTTTCTGTAGTTGGGGATAGCCCATGCTCATTCGATCTCTAGTGTAGGGATACCAGGCCCAGGAATTGCGTCCTTCCCTTCTGATTCTGGTCTCAATTTTTCGAATGAATCAGCAATACAACTGCAGTTTTCTTTGCTTTACAAAGATTGGCTTCTGGGTCTTCTGCGGCCCCCGCCTTTCCCAATCTGTGCCTCTGTTTTCTGATGTGGTAAAGCCATTTGAAAATGACAAATATTATAGCCACGAGGAGGCACTGTTCAGAGCAAATGTCAAAAAGAAGTAGGGTTTGTGTGTGTGTGGTTTTGAGACGGAGTTTTGCTCTGTCACCAGGCTGGAGTGCAGTGGCGCAATCTCGGCTCACTGCAACCTCCGCCTCCTGGGTTCAAGCGATTCTTCCGCCTCAGCCTCCCAAGTAGCTTAGGCCAGAGGCACATGCCACCACGCCCGGCTAATTTTTGTGTTTTTAGTAGAGACAGGGTTTCACCATGTTGGCCAGGATGATCTTGATCTCTTGACCTCGTGATCCGCCCACCTCGGCCTCCCAAAGTGCTGGGAGTAGGTTTTCAACAATGCAGTTTTCCCTTTTCTGTCTCCACCAGGCCAAACCTCAGGACACTTTAAACCTATGCCAGCTTTTAAACAATGACCTTGCCGCCACCGTTGCGAACTACCCCAGGAGGTTTGTGGGTCTGGGGACGTTGCCCATGCAGGCCCCTGAGCTGGCGGTCAAGGAGATGGAGCGCTGTGTGAAAGAGCTGGGCTTTCCTGGGGTCCAAATTGGCTCCCACGTCAACGAGTGGGACCTGAACGCGCGGGAGCTCTTTCCTGTCTACGCGGTGAGTAGGTGGGGCTGCTCAGCCAACGCCGGCCGTCCAGCGTCTGGGCCGGGGGCACCGCTGGGTGCTGGCAGGGAGGAGGTGAAGCACCACCTCACTGGGAGGGGAGAGCAGTACCCACGACTTATCAGCTATAGGTAAAAGATGTGGAAATAGCCCCCACGAAGGAGTGGGCCATTCCAAAGAGGAACTGGTAGAATGGTTCCTAGGCCAGCGCTGAGTTAACACAGTGAAAACTCTTGTCCTTCCTTCCCCCTTGCCCTCCTTTTAATCTTTCACTTGGAAGCCAAAATATCCTCTTCACAGCCAGTGTGCAAAAGAATCATGTTAATGACATGTAAAAAAAATATATTTCAGCCAGGTGCAGTGGCTCCCACCTGTTATCCCAGCACTTTGGGATGCCCAGGCGGGTGGATCACTTGAAACCGTTGGAGACTGGCCTGACTAACATAGCAAAACCTTGTCTCTACTAAAAATACAAAAAAATTAGCCAGGCATAGTGGCATGTGCCTGTAGTCCCAGCTACTTGGGAAGCTGAGGCATGAGAATCTCTTCAACGCGGGAGATGGAGGATGCAGTGAGCCAAGATTGTGCCACTGCACTCCAGCCTGGGTAAGAGAAGTAAGACTCCATTTCAAAAAAAAAAAAAAATCTGCTTTGGAAAAAAAATACTTAACATTTGTCAAAATTATAAAATAATTTGGAAGAAATTGTGGAAAATACAGAAAAGTATAAAGATGAAAACAAACATTACCCATAATCCAGCCTCTCAAAGATAAATTGCCACTGCTTTAGTACATAATCACTTTTTTTGATATCTATGTCTATATTTTAATGAAACTGAAATTCTGTTACACATGTGATTTTGTATGCTAATTAAAAATTTCCAACATAAGTGAAAATTCTTTTAGTGCATGCTTTTTAAATAACTGCAGAATATTCCAATATATGGCTATGTTTTGATTTATTTAGCCAATCTGTAATTAAGATACTTTTAAAATCATATATTTTTGAAAATGTTAACATTTGGTGAAACTAGGTGGTGGCCATATGGATGCTCATTGTGTTATTATTTACACTTTCTATACTTAAAATATTTCATGGTAAAATGTATTTTCAAAAATTCAGTGCTATTCATTTCTAAAATATCCGACCTCAAGTGTCCATAGTTTCACAGTCATCTCCATCCATCTTCTCCTTCCTCCACTTTCAATTCTTTCTAAAACCAAACCTTCTCATCTCAGTGCTAAGATTCATGATGCATAATTCTTCACTCAATTGCAGTTTTAATGTTTTATTTCCCTCCTGGAATTATAATATTGCTTTCTATTATTTTCATTATAAATGCAAAATCTTCAATAATGACTTAACTAGATGTTTGTGGACTCACCAGGCAGTGTGATTACTGATCATTTACTCATTTAGTATTTATGGAGGTCTAACTACAGGCCAAAAATTTTCCATGTTTGTATCTATGGCGACTGCCCACCAGTCAGGGGATTGCCTGTTAAATTGCCTCCTAATGACTTGAAAAATTTAATGTTCCTCAAAATATTGAACTCCCTGAAGCTTACTGGCTGCAGTGACTTAGCTGATGCAGTGATTGTTTTCTATAAACTTTAATGAGCTTTAAAAGAGGATTTATTTACTTATGCATCCAAGTTGTTTCAGCACAGTGTGAGCGAGACTTCAGCTGCAAGTCATTTTAGCATTCATTGGATTTGGGCTTATGAATTACTAAGGAGCTTGGAAAGCAACAGCAGCCGGTTGGGGTCCACATGGATATTTTCTTTTTTTCTTTTTTTTTTTTTATTGCATTTTAGGTTTGGGGGTACATGTGAAGAACATGCAAGATTGTTGCATAGGTACACACACGGCAGTGTGGTTTTCTGCCTTCCGTCCCCTTGCCTGTATCAGTCATTTCTCCCCGTGCTATCTCTTCCCACCTCCCCAACCCCCCCGTCCCTCCCCCATCCACATGGATATTTTCATTTGTGTGACTAGCTCGACCCATCAATCATTCTAACTGGGCTGTTTTGGGGACATCCAGTCTCTGAGGGGATTCAGGAGCACATCCTGTCCCCAGGTGACTCATGATGTCCTGGGGGTGGCAGCGTATTTGTTTGGTTAGCAAGGTTTGCCTGCCTCTCTGCTCTCTAGCTTGCGTCAATAATGTGCTGAAACGAATTATCATGAGCCAAGTTGGCTTTGTCATTTCAAGGTGATCCTGGCACTCCAAAGGTCTAACTGTCCTTTATCTCCTACCCCTCCCTCTTTAATGAGTAAACCCAATCACACATGCTCAGGTAAGTTTTCAGGTGCAAAAACAACTTCACTACTGGTATAAGGCAGACAGAATGGTAATGCCAACTGCCCAGCTCCACCATCTATCAGCCACAAGGCCTGAGTAAGTTAGCTCTATCTTCTTTAGTTCTCTTTTCTGTAAAACGAGGGTAGTAAAAGTTTACATCTCATAAAAAATTAATCTAGTTCATAATTGTAAAATTCTCATGACAGCTGTGGCACATAGTAAGTTTGCAGTCAACGTTAGTTATAATTTCGAGAGTATAACTTCTTTTTCTGTTCTCTACAAAGCCTCACATATAGAAAGAGATCAACAATATGTTAATTTGAATTGAATAGAAATTAGCATGGGAGGAAGACTGGTATCAAAAAACTACCTACTGGGTACTATGGTTATTACCTTACTACCTGGGTGATAAAATAATGTGCATATCAAGCCCCTGTGACATACAATTTACCTGTATAACAAACCTGAACACATACCCTGAACATAAACGTTAACAAAAAATAAAATAAAAAGGAAGAAGTTTAAAAAAGAAAAGAACCACCAAAGGCACATAGGATGAAGTTGTATCAAAATGAAGAGTCAAATCCCACTGAGATACCATGACCGTGCACCTTTGCCAAACCCAAACCATACCAAGAAGTCAGTATTTTCTTTCTAACCTACATCTATTATCAGAAACCAATTAGCTTCTCTCTCTTTAAAAGACTTATATCTCTTCTGCTCCCCAGGACCTGTTGAATCAAAAGTCCTTTCTTCAAGTTATCCTTTTCCTGACACTTCCAGAATGCCCTGTTGTCCCAGACTTGGCTTTCCATTTTAAAAATGCTCACGTACACGACTCACATTGCATCAGCCTGGTTAGCACAAATATCTATGTATGAGAGTAGGATGAGTCACTGCAGAACCTCAATATATGTGGTGAAGAATTATTCTAAGGGAAATCTCTTTTGAATCTTGATGAGCACTAATATTCAATGCCTGTTGAGGGGACTTCTTTTAATTAAACTTTTTGTTGAATAAAGGTCATTCCATCCAGATGGTATTTCCATTTTCAGAAGGCCCTGGAGCATGCCCATGACATTCATCTCAGTACCTGTCTGGCTAAGGCATTGATCTCTTCCCTCTCTGAGGTCATCACACTCACAGCAGACTGTTCAGAGACTCTGCTGGGTTCCTGGGGCTGTGTGAATGCCTGTAGACCCCAGGGATTCCACTCAGGGCTGGGCTCTGAGTGGTCACGTGGCTTGGGTCAGGCCAGCCAGCCCTAGCCCAGCACTGAGCCTTTAGCGCCAGCCCATCACTTCCTCACTTTCCACAGATTCAGGTTTTCAAGTGGGGAAAAGGAGGGGGCACTCTCACCCTGACTCCAAGGATATAGTCATTTACAAGCAGTCCTTCCAAAAGAGTAGAACAAGTTGGAGCCAGCAGGGAAAATTTCCCCTACATTTCAGGTGTGGGATTAGTCCTTGAGCATTTTGCTCTCAGCCAAAACATTTGAATGATGGATGTTTCCTGACACTTGCTTTATCAAACGATAAATTAAGTTCATCAACCTCAATCGTGAATCTACCAACCCCCTTTGTTAATTCTAAGTGTCCCTTTTATTTTCCAAGCAGGAACAGTTTGTCAATATCTCTTTTATAGAGATCATAAAACAATTTTAAAAGCATTTTAGTTTATTTGTGCAGACCAATAGAGACTCAAAGAAAAGCAGTTTCCCCAAAACAGTACCTGGTATCTGCTCACTCCTCAAAGTAACCCATTCTCTCTCTCTCTCTCTCTCATTGCTTCTTTGAAGGCAGCTGAAAGGCTGAAGTGTTCCTTGTTCGTGCATCCCTGGGACATGCAGATGGATGGACGAATGGCCAAATACTGGCTCCCTTGGCTCATAGGTTTGTGTCTCTGTGGGGTCTGGAACAGAGGACCAACTCTTGGGTTTGTCCAATCATCTATGGAAACCTATTATGTCAAATAGGGAAAGTATGAATAATTAACAGGATTATGAGTAATAGCAGCTATCACTTGCTGAGCTCTTACTTGGATTAGTGCTATATATTACCTCATTTAATTTTAAACATATCCAATGCCATCATAAATAAATCATATATTTAATCTATGAAGTTGACATTATAATGACCATTTCACAGATGGAGAAACTGAGGCTTGGAGTGTTTAGGTAAGTTGCCCAAGTCACACAGTTAATACATGAAAATGTAATTTACACAGATATGTCTGACTCCAAAGCCAGTCTTGCTATACAGACTACCAAAGAGGCTTCAAAAAATGTAACCATGCCTATCTAGTAGATTTTTTAGAAGATAATAATAGCATCAGCTCCTACAAATGAGAACCCTGGAATTAAAAGTATAAGGTCAACTTCCACCACCCAAAGATTTGAAATATTAGATAAAAGATGCCCCAGGCTTGCAATTTTCCTAGTATCTGCTTCTCTCTTCTGCCCTCTGGTTCCTGCACTATCCATAGTTCCACAAAAGGGTAGAGGAGAAAACTCCATTTGCTCTATTCAATCTCTCATTACCAGTTGTGATAAGCAGAGATAGGGAACAGATATAAAATCCTGGAGCTATTGGTGAAAAATATAGCTCATCTATAAACCCAATTTTGAAAACTTGGTCCCCAAATGAAAAGCACTGGATTTTTTTTTTCTTTTCTTTCTTTCTTTCTTTTTTTTTTTTTTTTTTTTTTTTTTTGAGACAAGGTCTCACTTTGTTTCCTAGGCTGGAGTATGTGGCATAATCTCAGCTCACTGCAACCTCCACCTCCCAGGTTGAAGCGATTCTCCTGCCTCAGCCTTCCAAATAGCTGGGATTACAGAGGTACAATGCCACGTCCAGCTAATTTTTGTATTTTTAGTAGAGACAGGGTTTCATCATGTTTGGCCAGTCTGGTCTCGAGTTCTTGGCCTTAAGTGATCCACCACCTCAGCTTCCCAAAGTGATGGGATTACAGGTGTGAGCCACAGCGCCAGAACTGGATTTTCTTTAAGGAGACCATTCTTCTTTCTCTCCTCAGCCCAATTAGTACAATTAGTAGTTATGAAGTAATCAAAATGGCAACCACCATGAAGAATTAAATGGGGCAATATACTGGAAGTAAAAAAATGGAATTTTAGTTCCAGCTTAGTCTCTATTTCACTGTATTTCCTGTAGTAAATCACTTTACCTCCATGGACCCCAGTCCCTCATCCATAAAATGAGAATGCTGATCTGGATTCCCCCAAAGGTCTCTTTCTGCTCTGATGTTTTATATATTCCTGTGATTGTTGCTGGAACCCAAAATATTCAGTAAAGCAGCCTCCTACTCATTCCACCAAATTATTGGGCAGTAACTAATAGAACGAGATAACCCAAGATGCCCAGATACTGTCAAGCTTCAAAGAAAAATTTCACCCTTATTCACAAAACTTTGATAAGTCCCATAAGCTTATTTATACTGCAACAGGAGGGCATCTGCATACAGAGTCATTTCATCATCCATTTATTCAGCACAAATACACTGATTCCTTCTAGCATACCACGCCCTGTCCCAGTCGCTGAGGATATAGACATGAACAAAACCTCTGCCTTCATGAAGCTTATATTCTGGTTAGAGGAAGGAGATTCTAAACAAGTATACATATCACAAGCAAACAGGCTAATTTTGGAATTTTATTCTGGATGCAAAGGTAGTTATTCGTGGAGTGGAGGATTCTCAGCAGAGAAGGGTCATGATCCAATTCACACTATAAATATAACTCTGACTCCTGTACGGAGAATGGATTGTGGTGTTATGGTTCAAGTGATTACTGGAAAATAGAATCACAGAACTAGAAGAAAGTGATGGCATCCATCTCTCTGCCTTCAGGAAGCTCTGCCCACAAACTTCTCCTAAATGGGTATAAATTCTTCATGCTTCCAGAATTCCCAGGCAGGCAGTGCTAGGGGTATCTCTGCCTGTGAAGCAGTGACCAGCCCCAGGCAGAATGAGCATCCTGTGAAGCCTCACTGCACAGCCTGCAGAGTCAGGCTTCCCCAGAAGGTGCAGTGCACAGCTGTAGAGCGGTCAGATTTCTGAGTCATGGTCTGAAAAGCAGTCAGTGGCAATGTAGATTGGACTGGCTCCTCAGGGGTAAAGACATTAGACACGGACCAGATGCTTCTCCTAGGAGCACAAAGCACTTGAAATAATTTATTTTAATCCAGTTATTTGCAACCTCAGCTACAAGATGCAATAAAGATTTGGTAAGAATGATCATAATGATAGTCACTATTTAGTGACCCTTTACTAACTGTCTGCAAAATCCTCAAAACAACCCACTGTAGGAACTCACCATTTTACAGATGACGAAATTGAGAGAGAGGCAACTAATACTTTTGTTGAACACCTCCATTGTGAGGTTCTGTCCAGGAACTTGGCTGACATCATTATTCACAAGGCTCCACAATAGTCTTGCAAAATGGGCACCAAAAACGTCATCTTACAGATGAAATGCAGGCTCAGAGCCATGAAATAACTTGCCAGAGACCAGGAAGAAGAAACTGGAGGAGCTGGGGTTCAGCCAGGACTCGGCATACTCTATCTGTCTCATTGCACCCCAAACTGAAGTTGGGAGAATTAAGGCAAAAGCCAGGTCCTCTGGCTCCTTAACTGCTCTAGCGATTAGATGACTCCCCCTGATAGGACATTTTACTTGGTTCTCCTTGCCAAAGTAATGCCCTATAATACAGCCAAACAATGCCAGGGTACAGGGGCCTCAAGTTTCTTTGCACTGACAATTCCCCAGCCACTAACATCACTGAACTTCTTCTTGTGTGGGGTGATCATCTCTGAACCTTTAAACTATTTCCTCTTCCAGGAATGCCAACAGAGACCACAATAGCCATTTGTTCCATGATCATGGGTGGAGTGTTTGAGAAGTTTCCCAAACTGAAAGTGTGTTTCGCACATGGCGGTAAGACCCTATCTTTAGTAGTCAGCTCAGGCTGTCATAACAAAATGCCACAGATTTGGATGACTATAAGACAACAGAAATTTACTTTCTCACAGACCTGGAAGCTAGAAGTTCAAGGTCAAGGTGTTGGCAGGGTTGGTTTCTAGTGAGGGCTCTCTTCCTAGCTTGCAGATGGCCACCTTCCTCACATGGCCTTTGGTTTCTCCTCCTCTTCTTACAAGGACATCAGTACACCAGTCCGATTGGTTTAAGGCTCCACCTTATGACCTCATGTAACCTTAATTACTTCCTTAAAGGTCCTTTCTCCAAGTATAGTCAAATTTGGCATTAGGGTTTCAGCATATGAATTTTGAAGGAATACGATTCAGTTCATCGCCTCCTTCCAGCCATCATTCTAGTCACATGATGGTTTAGGGACCAAATTCTATTTTTGCAGGCAAGTTTAGTTTTGTTGTCACCATTTTTCTTTCACTTTTTTTTCTGTTTTTTATTTAAATCCCTCTAGTTAGATCATGAGCTCCCCAGTCTGCAATAGTCCCTACTATTTTTCATTGTTTACAAATAGGCCTATTTCATTCATTTACACTGCCTTCCTGGTCTCTGTAGGTAATTGAATTTGTGGCCCTTCAACAGACACAGACACATAGACCCAGACACAGACACACACACACACACACACACACACACACACACACACACACACACACATACAAAATGTCAAACTACATGTTACTCTCTATGCCTTTCATTCTCAACAGCATAGAGAAGACATCTTTCCATGTCAACAAATACAGAGCTTCATCATTTCTGATGGCTTCGAGTATGGCCTTACATTTCACGGATACGCCATCATGATTTAGATAGTCCCCAACTGATATGCTGTCTTAGTATTTTGCTATTATAATCACACTATATTTGAAAACCTTAATCGCATATCTTTACACATTTGTCTTCTCTCTTTAGGGTGAATTTCTCAAGTCTGAATTTCTAGATGAGTTAGTGTCATTTCTTTCATAATCTCCCGGTGTTCAGAACACAATAGGTCCTTTGTAATTACTGTTAATCAGTTGGGCAACGGTAACTTCTTGCATGTAACATCAAGATGAAAGGAATCCTTTACAATCAACACTAGCCCCTCAGTCATGGGTTTTGCTTGCAGGTGGTACCTTCCCCTTCACAGTGGGAAGAATCTCCCATGGATTTAGCATGCGCCCAGATCTGTGTGCCCAGGACAACCCAATGAACCCAAAGAAATACCTCGGTTCCTTTTACACAGATGCTTTGGTTCATGATCCTCTGTCCCTCAAGCTGTTAACAGATGTCATAGGAAAGGTAAGCCCAGTCTGCCACTTAGATGTCTCATGGGGAGCAGAATTCTGCATCAGCAACCTGTTACTTGGCCTCTCTCCAAAAAAGGGATGGAAGAAATGCATTAGATGAAAGGAGAGAAACAGTGAGGTTTGGGATTAGGTTTGCTTGCACAGGGGATTCTCTCCGAGGCCTTCCTCTACACAGAGTATATAATACTAAGAACTATTAGATATGCCAGGGAAATCCCAGATAATCTACATGGCTTGGTATTCTCCCACATCAGCTCCTCTTCCTTAGGGACATCTCTATATACACCCAGCAAGACACACGGCAATGTGGTAAACAGGAAAGAACCACAAGTTTCAAAGTCAAATTGACCTGCGTTAAAATCCTGGCTCTACCTGTCACTAGTTGGGTAAATTGTGAATGCAACCATCTTCATCCACTATGTGGAGAAAACTGAAAAATTGAAAGGGTAGAAATGCATAGTTGGGAAATTGCATTGGACAGGGAGTCAGGGAAAGATGATGAAGGGTCTTGTGTATCATGCCCTGAAATTTCTTCCCGGAATAATATGGTTTTTGATACTCTCATTTAATTAAAACACCAACATCATGGTGGTACTTTAAAGCCCCCAAGATAAAGTTTTTCCTCTGATGTGGTCTCATCACAAATCTTGCTGCTGGTGGCACATCCACCTTTAAGTATTCTTTTAAAATGCTAACTCAGCAGGTTTGAGAATTTCTAGGGAAAAGGCCATAATGAAAAGTCTAAAATATTTTGTATTTCAATTCCATCTTATTACTAACAGGTATCTATAGAAGATTTCCAAATCTTCCCCAGAAAAAAATCTTTGGGGTTAAAAGTTAAAAATTTGCAATATGATACTTGAGTTGAGTTTAGACTCTAAGGTTTAAAAAATCATGTCTAGCAAAAAGAGGCCCATCATTTGAAAGTTGCAAGTAGTGTCATCTTGCATTAATGCTGACTGTTTCTCTGGCTTGAGAAAATCACCAGAATATAAATGTTAAGCATTTTAGCTTGATAATCAATTATGTGGTTGAGCTGTGTCTTTGAGTTGTTTAGCTTTTGTGTCACCCCTGCAGAGACGGATGGTTAGCAATTGGTTGTGACTGTTGATTTTTTCGGTTTGGATGGACCATGATGAGGAGGTCAGAAAGCAGAAGACTGTACAGGGCAGAAACTGAAAGAAACTTTGTGGGCTCTGAACATTGAGCAATGGAGGAAAGGAAAAGGGAAAATCATGTGGGATTGGGGAAAGGGCTGTTCTTATTACATCCCATCAAACCTAGAACCCCTTAGTATTCTTGGAAACTGAAACACCAGGAGAAAACACCACTGGCAAATCCAAAGCCCAGGCCAATATCCATGATGGACATCAATGTGAAATTCTTCAATAAAATACTGGCAAACCAAATCCAAGAGCACATCAAAAAGCTTATCCATCACGATCAAGTCAGCTTCATCCCGGGGATGCAAGGCTGGTTCAACATACACAGATCTATAAACATAATCCATCACATAAACAAAACCAAAGACAAAAACCACATGATTATCTCAATAGATGCAGAGAAGGCCTCCGACAAAATCCAACAGCCCTTTATGCTAAAAACTCTCAATAAACTAGGTATCAGTGGAACGTATCTCAAAATAATAAGAGATATTTATGACAAACCCACAGCCAATATCATACTGTATGGACAAAAACTGGAAGCATTCCCTTTGAAAACTGGCACTAGACAAGGATGCCCTCTCTCACCACTCCTATTCAACCTAGTATTGGAAGTTCTGGCCAGGGCAATCAGGCAAGAAAAAGAAAAAAAGAGTATTCAACTGGGAACTGATGAAGTCAAATTGTCTCTATTTGCAAACAACATGACTGTGTATTTAGAAGACCCCATCGTCTCAGCCCAAAATCTCCTTAAGATGATAAGCAACTTCAGCAAACTCTCAGGATACTATAAGTACCTTCAATGAGCACCCAGTGCAATATACACTGGCCAGGGGACAGGAGCAGAAGAGGAAAAATATGGCAACCACTTCATGGTAACCAGTGGATAGAGTAGTTGGTGAGCACATTTGAATACATTCCTAGTAGGGACCTCCAGAAAAACATAGCAGGTACTTTACAAAGTCCTTGGTGCTGAGATCTTACATTAAAACTATGAAAGCTTGAGCTATAATCATTTGGGCATCAAAAGCAAATGTGGCCGGGCGCAGTGGCTCACACCTGTAATCCCAGTACTTTGGGAGGCTAAGGTGGGTGAATCACCTGAGGTCAGGAGTTTAATAGCAGCCTGGCCAACATGGTGAAACCCCATCTCCTAAAAAAAAAAAAACAAAAGAGCAAATATAACTTTATTTTATGTAATCTCATAGACTCATGAATCCAGGACATAGGAGCAGTATATATTAATAATTTAGGATTCTTTTAAAAATATTAATGCTTCTTCATTCTAGTCATATTCACATTAGCAAATTCTCTTTTAAAATAATCCCCAAATCAGAATGGCTAAGGAAAGTCCTAGCAGGACATCTGGGATAGAGAGCAATCTGGCCAGATTTGAGCAAGAAGACAGAATGCTGTGGAGGCAGGTCTCCAGAAAGAAAAAAATGGAACTGATGAATTATTTGATCTGTCTGAGAGTTGGAAATACTTATTGACAGACATTTAACAGATCTGTTGATGCATTAGGAATGAAAGCAGGATATATATAGAAAATTAAGCAAATGAAAGTATAATTAACTCTAAGAAAACAAAAAAAATCTATGTGAGGGGCAATAATCACTGTACGTTATTTGACTCAGCAGTGAGCAATATTTGTTGTCATAATAGGGTAAATATTAAGTACTGGTTTAACTGAAAATCATAATTCTATTAAGAAAATAGAGACAGTGAAGTAAGAAAGAAATTCTCAATGACCATAATGGGAAATCACTAAATATTCTCTATCTAAAGTTAGTAAATTAAGACACAATAGTATAAGCTTATCATCTGGGATTATAAAGGTAATTGTCAAATGATGCAAGCTAAAATGGGAAAAGTGGCTACCTTAAGGGATAAGAGTTGGGAAAGTGAGCCAAGATTTCACTCTGTTACCCAGGCTGTAGTGCAGTAGCATGATCACAGCTCACTGCAACCTCCACCTCCCGGCTCAAGGCATCCTCCCACCTCAGCCTCCTGAGTAGCTAAGACTATAGGCACACACCACCACACCTGACTCATTTTTGTATTTTTTGTAGAGACAGGGTTTTACCCTGTTGCCCAGGCAAGTCCTGGACTTAAGCAATCTGCCTGCCTCGACCTCCCAAAGTGCTGGAATTATAGGCATGAGTCACCATGCCTAGCCAAAAAATGTTTCTAAAAAAGAGCTGCTTTTGAAAATAGAGATTTTTAGTAATATTTGATTGTTTATGTAAAAACATTACTTCGATAAGTACAAGTTTTTTTTTTTTTTGAGAAGTCTTGCCCTGTCACCCAGGCACATTCTCAGCTCACTGCAACCTCTGCCTCCCAGGTTCAAGCAATTCTCCTGCCTCGGCCTCCCAAGTAGCTGGGATTATAGGCGCACACCTCCACACTTGGCTAATTTTTTGTATCTTTAGTAGAGGTGGGGTTTCAACATGTTGGCCAGGCTGGCCTCGAACTCCTGACCTCATAATCCACCCACCTCAGCCTCCCAAAGTGCTGGGATTACAGGCATGAGCCACCACACCTGGCCAATAAATACAAATTTTAAATAACATCTTAAGAATATACAGATATATGTTATATATAAAGAACCAAAACAATCATCGAGCACCTACTATTTCTAAAACTCTGCTATTTGGTCAAAAAATCTTTAAATTACATAATCTCTTGGCTTCCTTCCATTTCTAAAATTCTTTTGCTTTTGAATTCTTTGCTTTGATTTTTACACATGGATGCAAAGAATGCAGGTTATAGATTATCAGTCTATCACTGTGAGAACTAGAAAAAAAAGAAAAACTACAGTGCCTCCCTGTATTAACTTGATCAAAGAAAATACACTTCACATATTTAAGTGGATAGATTTTTGAGAAGTTGGTCATATCCTCATTATAGGTATATCATAATTTTGGCTAGATCCATTGGTAACCTACTGCTGCGTAATTACATACTCCTACATCACTTAACAGTGAAGATATGCTCTGAGAAATGCATCCCTAGGCAATGTTGAGGTTGTGTGAATATCACAGTGCCCTTACACAAACTTTTATGGTACAGCCTACTACACACCTAAGCTATACGGTACAGCCTAGGGCTCGTAGGCTACAAACCTGTACTTGTTACTGTACTGAATACTGGAGGTAACTGTAACCCAATGGTAAATATTTGTGTATGAAACATATCTAAACATAGAAAAGGGAAAGTAAAAAGAAGGTGTAAAAGATTAAGAATGTATAGGGCACTTATCATGAAAGGAGCTTGCAGGACTAGAAGTGGCTCTGGGTGAGTCAGTGAGTGAGTAGTGAGTGAATGTGAAGGTCTAGCACACTACTTTACGTTACTGCAGACTCCGTAAACATGCTACACTTAGGCTACGCTAAATTTTTATTTTTTATTTTTTGAGATGGAGTCTCACTCTGTCACCCAGGATAGATAGAATGCAGGGGTGCGATCTTGGCTCACTGCCACCTCCTCCTCCTGGGTTCAAGTGATTCTCCTGCCTCAGCCTCCTGAGTAGCTGGGACTATAGACACATGCCACCACATCTGGCTAATTTTTTGCATTTTTTTTAGGAGAGAGACGGGGTTTCACCATGTTAGCCAGGATGGTCTGGATCTCCTGATCTCATGATCCCCCACACCTCAGCCTCCCAAAATGCTGAGATTACAGGCATGAGCCAACACGCCCGGCCACCATGCCCAGACAATTTTTTTTTTAATTTTCTTTCTTCAATAATAAATTAACTTTAGCTTACTGTAACTTTTTTACTTTATAAAGTTTTAAATTTTTTTTTTTTTTTTTTTTTTTTTTT